ACTGGCCCTCTTTATACAATGGAACCGTCGTGTGTCCTTGATTGGGATCATAAGATAAGGGTTGCCTACTGGTGGCTTGATGATCCACTTGACCTGCAAAAGCTAGGTGTTTCAATAACGGGGTAGCAAAAAGGGGCCTGTGTTTCAGGACACACCCGGTACACGATGTTACCTGACCTGCCCTAAACCCAGATTAAAGACGCCCTATGAACCAACCCATGAACCCCTCCTACCCCCGCCCCTCAGATTGCGATTTCTGTAGGACATCCCCACCATGTACCACTTTTACACCGTGCTGACCGTTTGCGAGGGGCCAGTGCCCCAGCTCGCTCAATTCGAGCTTGCAGCACAAGCAGAGAATCGGGCCCCGGTCAAGAGTTGTGGATCTAGCAAAGGGGCTGAGGGCAGAGGGTTGGAGACAAAACAGGTCCTCCATGCCTGTTGCTCCGAATTAATCACTTAACATTTGATCAAACCACAAGCGTATGATTTCCTGTGGCTCTCCTCTTCCTTTGTAGAAGACACTTACCCCTTTGCCCCGGGGTCCTTGGAGCGCTTCTGGTCGTGGGTTTCTATGAGAAACTCTGGTCCTTGCCCACCCTCCCTTCTCCCGTCCCCCTCCCTCGCGCATTTCTGCGTTCCAACTCGGCTGTAGCTGAATCATAGAACACTCAGAGACGATGGGATGGTTTGACTTCAAACTGTTAGAACTTTCAATCCTATGTTAGACATATCATATGCGGACTCGGTTTGTCTGGGCCTAGCCCTTCTTTCACCCCGAGTCTTTCACCAGTGGCAGTGTTTGTGGCTGTCGCTTGCGTTTATTGATCTGGCAAAGAGCTTAGGCAGATGTAGGATTCTCGTTTACGAGGTTGCTTTCCATCTGCCACCAAGCACCCAAATCTTCCTCGTGGCATGACTGGATGCCTTCCGACCCAGAATTAAGGCCCACTCCCCAACATGCTTGATCCCTCATCGATGACGCGCATGGTTGACAAAGCCACGGCTTTTTTGGGGCCCGCAACTCCCGAAGTGCCGTGCCGAAAAAGGAATCCCCCACTGTCGTGGTGGCCCGAAGAAAAAAAACAACGACGTGGAAGGATTCAACCTCGCGGACATCTTGTGGAGGATCATGTACGGGAAAAACAACTTGGAAACTACGTATTTGAAGCCCCCGTTGGTGTATAGTTTCAGGGAAAGCAAAATGCAGCCTTGTCAATGGGCCGCATCTGTCAAGTTTGCATGGCGCAGCTGTCCAGTTCAGGCCCAAGAGAAGCCAACATAGGAACATCCTTCGTAGAAAAGCTGAGCAAGCAGAGCCGGGGCCGCTTCTTTTAGCCCGAGCTCCGTAAGAACCCACACGAAGCATCAGGCGACAGTAGGCTGCCTTTAACCTTAACAAACCGTTCCTTTATTTTAACGCCTCCGGCTCAGGCCGCCGACACTACAGGCCTGCTTTCTTATTTGCGTCCCTTTGGAATTGTCCCCTTGCCCCCCCCCCCCCAAGATGTTTGCCCCCCTTTCCCTGTTGAGATCCATTCCCCCTTTCCCCCCTAAGGCCCTTTCTCCCTCTGAGATTTTTCCCTTTTCCTCCCTAAGATGTTTTCCCCCCTCTCCCTGTTGAGATCCTTTCCCCCCTTTCCCCCCGTAAGGCCTTTCCCCCCCTGAGATCTTCTCCCTTTTCCTCCCTAACATCTTTTCCCACCTTTCTCTATTGAGATCCTTTCCCCCCTTTCCCCCCTAAGGCCTTTTCCCACCCTGAGATCTTTTCCCTTTCCTCCCTGAGATCTTTCCCCCCCTTTCCCTGTTGAGATCCTTTCCCCCCCCTTCCCCCCTAAGGCCTTGCCCCCGCTGAGATCTTCTCCCTATTCCTCCCTAAAATCCTTTGCCCCCTTTCCCTGTTGAGATCCTGTCCCCCCTTCCCCCTAAGGCCTGTCCAGATCTTTTCTCTTTTCTTTCCTAAGATTTTTTCCCCCCTTTCCCTGTTGAGATCCTTCCCACCCTTTCCCCCCTAAGGCCTTTCCCCCCGCGAGAGCGTCTCCCTTTTCCTTCCTAAGATCTTTCCCCCCCTTTCCCTGTTGGCCTTTTTCCCCAGATCTTCTCCCTTTCCTCCTTAAGATCTTTTCCACCCCTTTCCCTGTTGAGATCATTTCTCCCCTTTCCCTTTAAGGCCTTTGCCCCCAGATCTTCTCCCTTTCCTCCCTAAGATCTTTTCCCACCTTTCCCTATTGAGATCCTTTCCCCCCTGTCCCCCCTAAGGCCTTTTCCCACCCTCAGTTCTTCTCCCTTTGCCTCCCAAAGATCTTTCCCCCCCTTTCCTCCCTAAGTCCTTTTCCCCTTGAGATCTTCTCCCTTTTCCTCCCTAAGATCTTTTGCCACCTTTCCCTGTTGAGATCCTTTCCCCCCTTTCCCCCCTAAGGCCTTTTTTTCTCCGCGATCTTCCCCCTTTTCCTTCCTAAGATCTTTTCCCCCCTTTCCTTATTAAGATCCTTTCCCCCCCCCTTTCCCCTTTAAGGCCTTTTCCCCCCAAGATCTTCTCCCTTTTCCTCCCTAAGATGTTTTCCCCCCCTTTCCCTGTTGAGATCCTTTCCCCCCTTTCCCCCCTAAGGCCTTCCCCCCCCCGAGATCTTCTCCCTTTTCCTCCCAAGATCTTTTCCCCCGGTTGAGATCATTTCCCCCTTTCCCCCGAGATCTTCTCCCTTTTCTTCCCTAGGATCTTTTCTCCCTGTCCCTGTTGAGATCCTTTCCCCCCTTTCCCCCCGAAGGCCCTTTCAGATCTTCTCCCTTTTCCTCCCTAAGATCATTTGCCCCCTTTCCCTGTTGAGATCCTTTCCCCCTTTCCCCCCTAAGGCCTTTCCCCCCCTGAGATCTTAAGGCCTTCTCCCCCTGAGATCTTAAGGCCTTCTCCCCCCCTGAGATCTTCTCGCTTTTCGATCCTTTCCCCCCCTTTCCCCCCTAAGGCCTTTTCCCCCCCTGAGATCATATCCCTTTTCCTCATTTTTCCTCCCTAAGATGTTTTCCCCCCTTTCCCTGTTGAGATCCTTTCCCCCCTTTCCCCCCTAAGGCCTTTTCCCCCCTGAGATCTTCTCCCTTTTCCTCCCTAAGATCTTTTCCCACCTTTATTGAGATCCTTTCCCCCCTGTTCCCCCTAAGGCCTTTTCCCACCCTGAGTTCTTCTCCCTTTTCCTCCCTAAGATCTTTTCCCCCCTTTCCCGCTTAAGATCCTTTCCCGCGTTTCCCCCCTAAGGCCTTTTCCTTTCAAGATCTCCACCCTTCTCTTCCCAAAGTCTTTTTCCCCCTTTTCCCCCATTGCCCCCCAGGGCCTGTTCCCCCAAGAAAGATTTCCCTTTTCCTCATTTCCATATGTTCCTTCACCAGCATGGGCAACATCCCCAGCATCACTTGCATCATCCGCATCCTTGGCAGGCGCTGATGCTGATGATGCAGGTGATGCTGGCGATGTGCCGCTGGAGCTGCTAAGGATGCGAAAGCGGACCCGGGGGGAATCAAACACCCCAATGTTTTTGACAAACTGTGTCGCAAGCCCGCACAATGAACAGATTTAGTGAAGCGTCTTCGAATCACCGCGGGTACGTGGACCCCCCCCGCCCCCCGCAATAGTGTGAAATGGTGCCCCTGCGGAGAGGGGTAACAGGTAAAGAGGTAAGGAGCATTTCTTATGTCCAACACGCTGTCTGTTGTCGGCGGATTTTCAACTGATGTTTGATCAGTTGTTTTGGCCACAGCCCTCAAGCCTTGCGCCTGTGCCTCCATTGCTCTTTGTGTTTTAAGCCGCCATGATCAAGCATCCAGAGCTGCAGGGATTGCCAGTGACTCAGTGGCGTTCTGAGTGAATGGACTTTGGTTCGATTCTGGGTATCCGAGCCGCGCACTTTCTGTCTGAAAGAAGCCAGGTTCCAGTTTGTTGGCAGTTGAGAGGAATGGCCAGGGCTTGATTTGTTATCCCTCCAACGCATAGATTAATTCATACCACCATGCTGGCCATACTTCAGCGATCATTATGTGCTATAGAGTGGCAGTGAAATGCCGAAAGCAGATTGCCGACTCCATCGGTGACGCAATTGAGGTGGACGAATGTCTCGCATTTGATGTCAAGGCTTTTGTACTGACTTTTGGTTGCGTTTCATGCGGCCAGAAGAATCGTGCATTGGACATCATATTAGGGGACCGCCTTCTGGATCTCAAAATTGCTGCTTTTCAGGCCAGACCGTGTAGATGCGCGCTCGGTTGTTGTGAGATATCTCTTGGCGCGAAGATACACCACCATGTCTCCGAGGGTGAGCGGTCCGAAACATTGGCTAGAGCCAAGCGTTTTATCCTTTGCCGAAGTCACGTTGTGAAGGGCTTTTTGAGTATGTCAAGTTGCTGCCGAGGAGTAAGCGTTCTTTCACAATGAGGCTTGATTGAACACATCTACTCACGGAATCTAGTACGTCTCCCCCCTTGGGATGGAGAGACCCCCAAACCCAAAGCTCTTTCTTGATCTGTTGGTTTTTCTTTGGTTTCAAGAGGGCGGGTCCGGATGGTCCGGCGCTGGCTCTGGCTCCGAGATCTCTCTTCAGATTCACTGAGCTGACTGGTTGCCCAGTCAAGTATCCAGTTTGGCGAACCGTGAACTTAAGCTATGTTTAAGCCACAAGAATACACATGACTACCCAGTACTTCAGGCACGCCACCATACTAACATCAACCCTTCAGTGCTGGAGATCTTACATGATGATCTCTCCTGGATATCTGAAACATGAACCAGAATCAAACATAATAACGTTTGACTCGGGGCAAACACCGAGGAGTCAAGGACGCTAAGATGTGGGACTGCTGGGAGTCTACCTTAGGTTGATCAAAGATGCAAGCAACTGGCCAAGACTCCGGCTCCTTCCCCACCAGCATAAATCATTACATATTATGTTTTGTTTCTCCACAAGTTGGAGCACAATGGTCAGCCTCATGTTTCTAGACACTTCTTGGATTCCACTTCCATGTCCGCGTTGGTTCCAACCTCCGACGGCTCGCGGCTCGCTCGCAGGGCCGCGTTGCTGGCCACGGGCTCCGTGGTGTACTGCCGCCAGCTGCTGCTGGCGGCCGCCTGCGCGCGAGGCCGGGGGACCGGGGGCTGTCGACAGTCGGGGAAGGTTGGGGGCGGGCTGGGGGGAGGGCGAAAAAGGCGGCGCGGGATCCCATCTCTACGGAAATGAACAAGAGGCTGTTTGACCAATTTGAAGATGTACCTTTTCAAGAGTAAATAGGCTTCGGCTGATATTGCCGACACATGCGGATGCTTTGCCTGGCGTTGCCTAGATGTATGCAGGAAACGGTTCATTCCGTTGTCAGGGACGCACCAAAAATTGTACTCTCAAAAAAGGCAATATGTGTATACACAATATATTCAACATGGAAAAGTACATACATGCTAGGCTGTCCCCCTGCCGCAAGACCTACAAATTCCTTCCCATATATACATATGTACATATATATACATATGCATAGATACATATATAGATGTATTTATCTTTACGGCTCACGGGAAATAGGCCTGACTTTCCGTATTGGACCCACGAAAAGCTATCCACTTTTTGCAGAGCGGTCAACCGCATCCATAAATAAATAAATCCATAAGTTAAAAACAAATAACAATAAAACATAAATAAACATAAATAAATATAAATAAACAAAAATAAATAAATAAATAAATAAAAATAAATAAATATGATACATATGTATATATACATATATACATAAAGTGTATATATATATATATAGACTATTCAGGGGGGGCCACTGAGCTGCCATTTCCTCAGGCGCAGACACCTGGGGCCCGCGATGGCTGGCGCTGGGCCTGAGCAACAGCCTCCGTGCCTTGGAACTGGGCGCTCGGGGATCGGGGATGGCCCCCCACCCAAACCTTAGGCTCCTGGCGGCCCTGAATGCCCCTAACAAGGAAGGGGAACCCTCTGTAGTCCACCCCATGCAAGCCATGCGGCCCTCAATTTCCACCCGAACCCTCGCTAGTCCACTCAAAACCTATGGCTTTAATTAGGGGATACCTTCTGTCCAACAATCGTGGAAGTGGACAGAGGCTTCCCCAGAAGGAAAGTTGCCTTCTGAAAGAATGGGGTGCCCTTATAAAAGACATATATCAAGAAGGATACCGCCAAAACATGTCAGAATCAAGCGAGATTTGTTTAGGCCCCCGAACACAGATCAGGGATGGTAAGAGGCGGCCAACTGGGTTTGGACCCCACAGACTCGGAGGCCCTGCTTGGGATTCCCCTTGGAGTGGAAAAAGGGGCCTTTGTGTGACCACTATGTCGGTTTTATGAAACTATCGTGTGGATGCCCCTCCAGTCGGGTGGGGGGGGGTTCGAGAGACCAGCAGGGTGGGCTATTGGCTGGGTCTCTCCATTTTACAGCACAAGCAAGGTGTATGGTAGGGGCCCGCACCAATGCCTTGAAAATATGTCAGTCGCTGCTGCCTTCCCGTTGTTGCGACTGTCATCCCAATTTGCGTATGATGGCACACAAACATGTAGTTTCACCACAGAGTTCCAGCAGCCCCCTGCCACCTGTTTGATCCTTTCCACCCTGTTGGAATGCTGTGCCATGACCTTCAGACCAGTCAACTTTTGTGCCCGCCGACCGGCGAAGTGGGCCAATGCAACACACACACGCACACAGAGGAAGCCAGAATCCTTTGGCAGGATAATGTCGAAGACAGATTCTACCTGTGGCCCTTTTTGGTCGACAAGAGCGGTCCCACTCTCAAAGAGGGGGTAGTGTGTTCACCTCTTTGCCTGGGGCAGAAAGTAAAGCGCGTTGCAACTGCCGCCTGTTTCACAGGCTTCATGTCAGCTTTTTGGAAGGCTTCCAAATTGAAGACTTCTGCCATGGACCCAAAGTGTGCGTCGGTTCGGGTGTGACTTGGCAGTGCTTTTTTGGGAGGGTGGGTTGGTTTGTTCGCTTGTTTGATTTGATTTGGCTGTGATTTTGGTGGTTTGTTTGGTTTGTTTGTTTGGGGTTGGGCCCTTTTCCAATGCCAAGCTTTGCATTGCATGTGCAGTTCTTGTTTTCATTCACCGATTCAATTTGCATGGCTGACTCCAGATCAGTTCAAACCTGCAGCTCCGGGGGTTTCATGCGCTGGCTTCTGCTGCGGATCCAAGAGATCTCAGTTGCCCCAGTGGGCTTTCGTTGAAGCAGCGCCAGGGGAGATCGCGCGGCTTGTGGGCGTCAACTTCGAGACGGACACCGAGGAGAAGTGGCAGCATGACCCTGAGAAGCGCCGCTTGGACTTTTTCTATGCAGACCTTCACCGTTTCCTCAACGAAAGCAAATGAAATTCGAGAGTTGGTGGTGTGATGTGCATACTGTCCCACCCACATGGAAACCCATCAGAATTCCTTGAGGAACGTGGTCAGCGCAGCTAGCCAATGATCCGGCCCACCCTCCATGGACTAACTCTCCTGAGCGTCCTAAGCAACTTGCCAAATCATTTCTTTGTTCTCTGGCCACCTGCCCTCTCTTTGGCCCCCATGTCGAGGCTTAGACCCAGAGCGTCAGTACCTCACCTGCTGGCACCCTCATGGGGCGCTGACCTTTTGCGCCGCGATGTTCACCAGCGGCATGCCCTTTGGCCGGCGAAGGGAGAGATGGGGGGAGATGGGGGAGATGGAGGAGATGGGTGGTTCGCATGGCCGGCTTGGCTACGAAAGTTTTGCGTTTTAGGGTTTGGGGTCTTAGGGTTTGGGGGGCGGTGGCAGGGATGAAGGAACCCAAGATCACACCATGCAGGAGGTTTGAGGGGGTTGGACATGTTTGGTCCCATCACTCCCGATCAATCCTCCCGGCCCATGGATGCTAGTGCTCTCATAGTTGCCCGTCCCACCCCGATGGACCCAATGGATCCCTTTGATAAGGCCTCGGCAAGGCCACAGCACTACACGGTTCCTGAAGTGAGTTTCCCTTTGTTTTTACGTTGAAAACTATCGGACCCCTGCAGGCCTTAAAGATCCCTGGAAGGGATAGGGAGGGTCCAGAAGAGAGCAGCTTGACCCACAAAGCGAGTTTGGACCTGAGTTCATCCTGAGCCACCATGAGTTTGACGCCCAAAGCCAGCCTAAGTTTTGACCCACCAAATGCTTCGCTGTCCAGGGCGGCTCGGTCCACCCTGCCAGCCGCGCCGGGCCCGCGGAACTGGTTTGTGGCTTGGCCAGATTGCGTTTTTCCGACGGTCAAAAGATGAGCCCATGGGAGTTTGAGCTGTGTTGGACCGTTCACCTCTTTCCTGGTTGGAAAATGTGAGGAACTGAACAACAAATGGTCTGGTGTTGGTTGGGGAGGGGGCGGGGAGGACAAGGGCGGAGCAATCCAAGTTTACAAAAACCCAACGCCCGCACAATCTTCCCCATATCTTGAATGAATTTGTCCAGGCTCAGATACAAAGTTGGTTGGCAAATTCTTGGGCCACATCAAACGCTTAGCCATGGTGAACGAGTCGTTTGAGTCTGGCCTGAACTGGAGATCCCTTTGGGTTGCTGATTGAATCCATTTCGAGGGTCCTGATCCAACTTTGGGGCAACATGAAGGTGCAAGCAGCAACGATAAGCATCAGTTGCAGAAGGGAGCCGCTTGTGAACCCTGTGAAAGATGTGACCTGACATCCGAGGCAGGACAGTTGGCAAATGCCTGGGTGTTGCTTTCCTCTTGAGATGAAACAGAGCTGGTCCCACCCAAACGCGCCAGTGGAATCCCCACTCAACACGCAATGAGTTGTTCATGGGGTTTCACCACATCCTTGCAAACGGGTTTGTTGAGTACACTCCAATGTCATGTTATGGGACGGCGAATTTCAGCTTGGTATCTTGAAATCCAAGTGCCTTTTGGCTACTGTGCTGCTTCCATTTAGAAAGAGCCGCCTGGGCAAACCAACGAACTGTAGCACCTTCCTTTTGGTGTTAAGTCGTTACAAGCTCTAGAGCCCTAAGGGTCTGAGGCCCTAAACCACAACCCAGGGCTTCCAAATAAACTGTTTTGCTCGTGGAGCGGCGGGATGGAGACTGCTCACTCCGACGCGCTAGCGCAGCCGAGGTGGGGATCGCCACCCTTCTCTTCCGGTTCCCCTTCATCGGGGAGTACTTGGCCTTGGTGAACGCGCGCCCGGTGACGCAGCGCATGTCTGACAAGCAGCTTGGCTTGAGAGAGCCCTTCTGATTCTGGCGGAACTATGTGTATTGTCTAGCTATGTCGCTTTTAATGACCAATTATATGTTTTCTTAGGGCTGAAATATCGATCAAGCCAGAAGACCATCAAATCCAGCCGCCGCTCGAGGCTCCTGGCGGCGGGACGCTCTATGGCCTTGCAGCCGGGCGGCCTGCCGGAGCAGGTGGTCACCGACCATCGCAAGGAGCAGCTGGTGGCTCGACGAGTCAACGGCTGGGCGGTTTGTTGGGTGCAAGACGTTGGTCCGATGAACACTGAAGACTATCAGAGAAAAATAAAGGGGGTGAAGGGTCAACGGGGCGAGGCTTCAGGGCAGACGAAGGCAGAAAGCAGCGCAAAAAACCATGAAACAGCAGAAAACAGCCGTTGATTTTAGACAGACAAAAAGCAACAATCACATGGGTTTGTCACTGGGAGCTGGGGTTGCGATGGTTCCTCCTTCCACCCAAAGGATCGTTGTGAGCTTGTAGTTGGGCAGGATGGCTTCCTCCTTTTCTGTGTTGTCACAGCCGCTTTGCTTCAGTGTAGAGTGGAAATTTGTGCGCATTTGTTCAGTGCCCAAGGGGCTGGTTTGAGACACCGATGGTCCAAAACACCCATGCCCAAACAGTGGTCCCAAACACCCATGGTCCAAACACCCATAATCCCAACACAGTGGTCCAAGTTGGTCCCAAACACCCATGGTCCCAAACCCCAAACACCCATGGTCCAAAACACCTGTGGTCCCAAACACAATTTTAAACAGCCGGTCCAAAACTCTCATGGTCCCACCCACACCCATGGTCCCAAATGGTGGTCCCAGCCAACTGGTCCCCAACATTCGGTCCCAAATCCCAAACACGGTGGTCCCAAACAGCTGGTCCCGAACACCCATGGTCCCAAACAGCTGGTCCCAGACACCCATGATCCCAAACGCCCGGCCCCAAACGGTGGGTCCCAAACACCCATAGTCCCAAACACCCGCAACACCCGCATGGTCCCAAACGGTGGTCAAACACCCATAATCCCAAACGATGGTCCCAAACCATGGTCCCAAACGGTATGGTTCCAAACAGTGGTCCCAAACACCCATGGTCCCAAACAGCTGGTCCACACAGCTGGTCCCAAACGCATGGTCCCAAATTGTGGGTCCCCAACACCCATGGTCCCAAACAGTGGTCCCGGACACGCATGGTCCCAAACAACCATGGTCCCAAACCCAAACTGCTCAAACACCCGGCCCAAACAGCTGGTTCCATGGTCCAGCTGGTCCCAAACACCCGTGGTCCCAAACACGCATGGTTCCAAACGGTGGTCCCAAACACCCAAATGGTCCCAACCATGGTCCCAAACACGCATGGTCCCAAATTGTGGGGTCCCAAACAGCAGTTCCAAACGAAACAAACCCAGGTACGATGGTCCCAAACGCTATGGTCCCAAACAACTGGTCCCAAACAGCTGGTCCCAAACGCATGGTCCCAAATTGTGGCCAAACGGTGGTCCCGGACACCCATGTTCCCAAACAACCATGGTCCCAAACCCAAACTGCCCATGATCCAAACAGCTGGTTCCATGTCCCATGGTCCCAAAGGTGGGTCCCAAGCACCCAGCGGTCCCGGACACATTTTCCCAAACGCCCGGCCCCAAACGGTGGGCCCCAAACACCCGCATGGTCCCAACGATGGCCCCAAATTATGGTCCCAAACACGCATGGTCCCAAATTGTGGGGTCCCAAACATACATGGTCCCAAACGGTGATCCCAAACGAAACAAACACCCATGGTTCTGAAGGTGGTCCCAAACATGCACCCAAACGATGGTCCCAAACGGTATGGTCCCAAACAGCTGGTCCCAAACACCCATGGTCCCAAACCGTGGTCCCAAACGTATGGTCCCAAATTGTGCCCAAACACCCATGGTCCCAAACGATGGTCCCAAACATGGTCCCAAACGATGTCCCAAACAGTTTGGTCCCAAACATGGTCGAAAAAAAACAGCTGGTCCCATGGTCCACACGATGGTCCCAAACAGCTGGTCCCAAACGCTGGTCGCAAACACGTATGGTGGTGGGTCCCAAGCACCCATGGTCCCAAACAGTGGTGGTCCCAAACGCTCGAACGATGGTCCCAAACACGCATGGTCCCAAATTGTGGTCCCTTCATGGTCCCAAACGGTGGTCGCAAACGAAACAAACACCCATGGTCCCAAACAGGTGGTCCCAAACGATGGTCCCAAAACGGCTGGCCGAACCCCCATGGTCCCAAACAGCTGGTCCCAGCCCATGGTCCCAAACAGTGGTTTCCGGACACCCATGGTCCCAAACAACAGCTGGTTTCATGGTCGGTCCCAAACAGCTGGTCCCAAACACCCCAAACACCGACCCATGGTCCCAAACCAGCCCCTATGGGTTTCCGCATTGACGGTTAACGGGACCCACCAAAACCCACCAGAACCCCCTAAAACTTCCACAACCCCCCAGAACCCACCAGCCCAACCCAGACAGCGCGTCCCAAACAACCATGGTCCCAAACAGTTGCACGCATGGTCCCAAACACCCATGGTCCCAAACAGCTGGTCCCGAACACCCATGATCCCAAACAGCTGGTCCCAAACGATCGTCCCAAACACCCAACTATGGTCCCAAACCATGCTCCCAAACACGCATGGCCCCAATCCCAAATAGGAATGGTGTGGTCCCGAACACCCATGGTCCCAAACACCCATGGTCCCAAACGGTGGTCCCAAACAAAACGGTGGGTCCCAAACACCCATAGTCCCAAACGATGGTCCCAAACGATGGTCCCAAACGATGGTCCCAAACATGGCCAAACGATGGTCCAAAACGGTATAATCCGAGTGGCCCAAACAATGGTCCCAAACCATGGTCACGGTATGGTCCCAAACAGCTGGTCCCGAACACGCATGGTCTCAAACAGCTCGTCCCAGACACCCATGGTCCCAAACGCCCGGGCCCAAACGATGTGTCAGTGGTCCGAAATTGTGGTCCCAAACACCCATAATCCCAAACACTGGTCCCAAACAAAATAAACACCCATGGTCCCAAAGGTGGTCCCAAACATGCATGGTCCCAAACCATGGTCCCAAACACACATGGTCCCAAATTGCGGGTCCCAAACACCCCATGATCCCAAACAGAAACGGTCCCAAACATGGTCCCAAACGATGGTCCCACGGTATGGTCCCAAACAGTGGTCGGTCCCGGGCACCCATGGTCCCAAACAACAGCTGGTCCCATGGCCCACACGATGGTCGGTCCCAAACACCCATGATCCCAAACAGCTGGTCCCACGCAGCTGGTCCCAAACACGTATAGTGGTGCGTCCCAAGCACCCGTCCCAAACAGTGGTCCCCAAACACCCGGCCATAATCCCAAATGAGGGTCCCAAAGCCATGGTCCAAACACGCGGTCCCAAGGTCCCAAACAGCTCAGACACCCATGTCCCAAACGCCCGGCCCCAAACGGTGGGTCCCAAACACCCAGGTCCCAAACGATGGTCCCAACCATGGTCCCAAACACGCATGATCCCAAATTGTGGGTCCCAAACCCTTAATCCCAAACGCTCCTCCAAACGAAACGGTGGGTCCAAAACACCCATGGCCCCAAATGATGGTCCCAAATGATGGTCCCAAACGAAACGGTATGGTCCGAAACAGTGGTCCCAAACACCAGGTCCCAAACAGGCTGGTCCCACGCAGCTGGTCATTCATGGTGGGTCCCAAGCACCCATGGTCCCGGACCCATGGTCCCAAACAAGAGCTGGTTTCATGGTCGGTCCCAAACAGCTGGTCCCAAACACCCCCATTGTCCCAAACCAGCCCCTAATTTGGGGCACAGGGGTTTTCGCATTAACGGGGCGAGGCGACAGGGATTAACGGGGCGAGGCCCCCCAGAACCCCCGAGAACCCACCAGACAGCGCGTCCCAAACAAGCATGGTCCCAAACAGTTGCACGCAGTGGTCAAACACCCATCATGGTCCCAAACTGTGGTGGCAAACACCCATGGTCCAAACAGTTGATCCCAAACACATACATCATGGTGCCAAAACGGTGGTCCCAAACAGCTGGTCCCAAATGCATGGCACACGGTCCCAAACCCAAACTGCCCACACACATGGTCCCAAGCTGGTCCCAAACGCCCGGCCCCAAACGGTCCAACGATGGTCCCAAACACCTCCCATGGTCTCAAATTGTGGGGTCCCAAACACCCATGGTCCCAAACGGTGGTTCCAAACGAATCAAACACCCATGGTCCCAAAGATCCCAAACTACTGATCCCGAACACCCATGGTCCCAAACAGCTCGTCCCAGACACCCATGGTCGGCCCCAAACGGTGGTCCCAAACACCCAAGTCCCAAACATGGTCCCAAACAATGGTCCCAAACCCAAAGAGCCAGGGCGCCGTACGGTGGTGGGTCCCAAGCACCGTCCCAAACGATGGTGCCAGACAGTCCAAACACCCAAAACGGTGGATGGTCACGATGCATGGTCCCAAAAGTGTGGGTCCCAAACACCCATGTTCCAAACGAAGGTGGTCCCAAACATGCACGATGGTCCCAAACGGTATCCCGAACACCTATGGTCCAAAACGGTTCCAAACGCAAACGGTCCCAAACAATGGTCCCAAACCATGGTCCCAAAGCATAGTCCCAAATTGTGGGTCCCATGGTCCCAAGCGGTGGCCCCCAAACAGGTCCCAAACACGTGTGGTGTTGCGTCCCAAGCACCCATGTGGTCCCGGATACATGGTCTGGGCCCCAAACACCCTTCGTCCCCCCCAACACCCGCATGGTCCCAAACGATTGTCCCAAATTATGGTCCCAAACACGCATGGTCCCAAATTGTGGGGTCCCAAACACCCATGGTCCCAAATGGTAGTCCCAAACGAAACAAACACCTATCGTCCCAAAGGTGGCAAACGGTATGGCCCCAAACAGCACCCATGTTCCCAAATTGTGGGTCCCAAACAGCCCAACGGAAAAAAGGTTGGCTCGCTTGAAATGCAACCTGGAGCCAAATTGCAAGCATATCTAGGGGTCACTATTTTGCAGCCACACGCCTCCACGCAGCGTTTTAGACTTCGAATCCTTCGCAGGACGAGGTCAAATGCTGGACGGACGAGTGCTAGGGGCCGGGCGTTTGGGACCATGGGTGTCTGGGACCATGGGTGTTCGGGACCAGCTCGTTTGGGACCACCTGTTTGGGACCATGGGTGTTTGTTTCGTTTGGGGCCAGGGGACCATGAATGTTTGGGATCCACAATTTGGGACCATGCGTGTTTGGGACCATGGTTTGGCACCATCGTTTGGGATTATGGGTGTTTGCGGCCCATGGTCCCAAACACGCATGATCCTAAATTGTGGGTCCCAAACACCCATGTCCCAAACGCTGGTCCCAAACGAAACGGTGGGTCCCAAACACCCATGGTCCCAAACATGGTCCCAAACGATGGTCCCAAACAGTATGGTCCCAAACAGTGGTCCGAAACAATGGTCCCGCACATTCATGGTCCCAAGCAACAGCTGTATTAGACAACAGGAATTAACGGGGCGAGGCCCCCACAACCCCCCAAAACCCCAGAACCATGGTCTGAAACAGTTGCACATGGTCCCAAACAGCCAGTCGGTGGTCCCAAACACCCATGGTCCCAAAGTGCCAAGCAGCTGGGCCCCAAACGGTCGGCCCCAACCCAAACAGGGTTCCCAAACACGCGTGGTTGTCCCAAACATTCATGGTCCCAAACGATGGTCCAAACGGTGCCATGGTCCCACACGCTGGTCCCAAACATCCATGGTCCCAAACAGCTGGTCCCACACAGCTATGGTCCCAAATTGTGGGAAACACCCATCCCAAACACCCAGAAGCCAGGGTCCCAAACATGCATGGTCACAGCTGGCTGGTCCCAAACACCCATGGTCCCAAATCATAAGTCCCAGACACTTATGGTTCCAAACGTTTCCAACACCTATGATCCCAAACATGGTCCCAAACCAAACACCCATCAAACAGCTGGTCCCAGACACGCACCCATGGTCCCAAACAGTTGGTCCCAAACATCCATGGTCCCAAACAGCTGGTCCCAAACGGTAAACGCCCGGGATCGCGGTGCCGAGCAGGCACCTACAAGGCGCTGAGCGGTGCCAAGCAGGCCCCTTTTCCACCTGTCTTTTCTTGTCGTCCCAAACAGGCGGGTCGGTGGTCCCAAACACCCATGATCCAAACGCCACCCATCGCCCACAGACCCATGGTCCAAACGGTGGCCCAAACTAAACGCCTACCCAAACACATGGTCCTGGATCCCAAACTCCATGGTCCCAAACGCCCATGTCCCCAAACGGTGGGTCCAATGGTCTCAAACAAACGGTGGTCCCAAACGATGGTCCCAAACCATGGTCCCAAACACCCACGCCCCCAAATGCCCATGGCCCTCAAACTGTGGGTCCCAAACACCCATGGTCCCAAACAGCTGGTCCCAAACACCCGCCCAAATTGTGGGTCCCAGCACGCATTGTCAAACGGTGGTCCCAAACGCTCGCGTGTGGATTGAGACGGTGGTCCCAAACACCCATGATCCCAAGCGCTGGTCCCAAATAGCCGGTCGGTGGTCCCAAATATTCAACACACTTGGTCCCAAACACCCATGGTCCCAAACAGTGGGTCCCAAACATCCCAAACAGCTGGTCCCAAACACCAAACAGCCATGGGTCCCAGCCCCCCATGGTCCCAAACAGCTGGCCCAAACACCTATGGCTCTGGCCCCAAACACCCATGGTCCCAAATCGTGGGACCCAAACGCTGGTCCCAAACAGTCCCAAATGGGCGCATGCCTTTTTAAGGTGCGCAGCCTTTTGTAAAGGGTGGAAGTGCGACTTGTCCGAACCATACCCCCGAACCATACCCCGAACCACACCCCCGAACCAGACCCCGAATCATACTCCCTTCGTACTACTACTGCTGCTGCTACTACTACTACTACTCCTACTACCACTACTACTACTACTACTACTGCTACCACTACTACTACTGCTACTTCTACTTCTACTTCTACTACTACTACAGCTCCTGCTACTACTACTACTACTACTACTACCACTACTACTACTCCTACAACAACAACAACTACTACTACTACTACTGCTGCTAATACTACTACCACTACTTCTACGACTCCTACTAGGACTACTACTACTACTACTACTACTACTACTACTACTACTACTACTACTACTATTACTACTACGACTACTAGTACTACTACTACGACTACCATTACGACTACTACTACTACTACTACTACTACTACTACTACTTCTACTACGACTTCCATTACGACTACTACTACTACTACTACTACTACTACTACTACTACTACTACTACTACTACTATTGCTACTATAGTAGAACAGCCTGAAACACCTAATCAACGCCACGACACAGAAACGTGTTGCCTTTCTACACTAAACGTGCCCTCATGAATGCAGCAATAAATGGCTTGACCGCTTTGTGCGCAGCACAGCAACCAAACACAAGCAAGCAAGCTAGCCAGCAAGCCCTGGAGACAATTACCTTCAGCGCCGGAAGGAAAGAAAGTGCTTTTCCGGGGAAACACGGGTGTTTGCGGTGTTTTCTTGTCGTTTTCGTCCTCGGGCCTCACCCCATTTGCCGCTCACCCCATTAATTTCCCTCTAAGACTAGGTAAAGTGAAGGTTCTAGCGTTTGGGGTGCGAGGCGTCCGATTTGCAGCAGGTCGAAATCTCTCAGCGTGACTCCTGCCTGAGGTTTTCCCACCAGGCCTGGGGTTCTGCCGACTGGCGCTGAAGCATGGCACCCCGTTGCTGCCCATCTACGTCTTTGGCGCCTCGGTGGTATGGGGTGGCCAGGGCTGAACCCTTTTTATTGTTCTTTCAGCACCGGGCGTGTGTGTGTGTGTGTGTGTGTGTGTGTGGAACAATTATTTTCTAGCAGTTTCCAGTTTCCAGGCTCCAGCGTCCCTTCATTCAACCAAGAGCGTGAATCACACAAAGAGGTGGTTCTTGCTACTGCGCCGAAAGACAGCCCCTGATTGTGCAGGCGCTTCGCTTTGTTGGTCAAGTATCAATTTTATGCAGTCGTTTGAGTTTTGGAGGGTTTCCTTCCGGTGTAGCTTTCAAAGGCCAGAACTCTGACATCCTTCCCCCATTGGAGTCTGCATGCGGGTGACCTTTCCTTCTACCCAAGTTGGGCACTCTGACGGAAAGAGCCATCCAAATGTCCGAGTCCTTTGGGGATTGGATAGAGTTCATGTTTTGGTTTGAGAGCAGGCGAGCCGTGATCTGTAGAACAGTTGCCATAGATGTTTGTTTCACTTGTTCGAACACGCATCGCATATCTGTATATATCTACACTCTGTCTTTGGATGTCCCAATCGTTGCAGTATGCAAAGCTCAAGGTCATGGCAGCCTGACACGCACAGTTGCTGAGCGTGCATAGAACGCGTGTTTGTGCCTCTTGGAGTATTCTGGAACCAACCACCGCATTGCTACACTGCATAGATAAGTTCTTCAAAGGAGCACCTTTGATTGGTCCGTAAGACCAACAGGAATACAAGTTGGGGTTCCCCAATTCGGAACATAAATGTGCTGTGCGTCTGCGTGTCTGCGCGCCTGTGCGTGCGTCTGTTTTTGAGAGTACCCTTTTCACATTGCTGTAAAGGGAAACCAAAAGGAGATCCACCGGGCCCCTGTTTGAACACATACCCACCTGTTACTGTGGATCTCTTCAGCACGCGCCAGAGCGGCAGGTGAAAACCAAGTCTTCACTACCTACGAATGGGGGCGAAGGCGTCTCGGTGCAAGCATCCAGCGATAGAGTGACTGATTTGGTAAATCGGTCTGGAAGGGTCTGCAAAGGGGAGTACCGCTTGACAGTTTTCATTTGGCTCATCTTTGACTTGTTTTAGGGTGCTTTTGCTGTCCCTGCGGATGACTAAAGGGAAACCGTCATGACTGGTAAATGTTTTGTTCAGTTGCACCTTCAGCAGAGGAGTTTGGCTCAAAATAGGGGACCCCCCAAAATGGGTGGTTTCACATCGGCTTCGCTTTCAGGCAACCCGAAAAGCATATTCGTTTCACATTGCAGAAACTTGGGATCCTAGAGGACCATGATCGAGAATGGCTGGCACCCTTTATTGATGTCCCTTCAAACACCAGCCCAGAAGCCCATAGTTCGAGCCCCTGTTGTTCTCCCTTCAAGCCACCGACCAAATATATATATATATATATATTATATATAATTATACACAGGCATGTGTATATACGTCCCATGCATATGTAAACATTGTGACCGTTTTCAAACGGAAGCTGGGATGATTTGAAGGGGGTCCCCGTTCGCCAAACCTCAGCGTAGCGGCTTCCGCAAGGTCAACTTTTTTGCTCATGAGGGTGCAGGGTGCAGGGTTTCGTATTTGTTTGCCCTGGAGATGTCAGCGAGGTCCCTTCTATCCTTGCTATACTTTTGGCCTTTTGCGCGATATTGTTTCCAGCCCTGTTTGTCTATCTCAAGTACAGGTGCACAGTTTGCATTGGTGGCTGCTGAGCGAGTGCGCTGCCTGCGAGATTCAATTTGCATGCAGCCCGCGCCCTCTCTCCAAATGTTCAGCCATTTTCGATTCAGGGGTGCCATGCTTGGGAGTCTACAGACCCTGCTTGCAACTGACCTCGTTGGCCCCTTGCCCCTGTCGCGTGAGGACGACGCAGAGCCTGTTCCGCCGCTTTGGCATTGCCGTGCCACTCATCAATCCATGGCCCAACAACCTGACGCTTCACATGCCACTAGGCTCAAAGTAACGCGGAGCTCAGATTTGGATTTGGCTGCTTTTGAAAAGGAGCTGTGGGTGGGCTGCCCAGTACTACTTGTTGTCGGCGAGGAGGTGCAGAGTTCATTCTTCATGAAAGCACATGACTGCGCTTGTGGGCATTCTTGGGGCCAGACCCCTGAAGTTTTGAGCTGATCTAGGTCGCCATGCGATGTGCCACCGTGTGTGTGTGTGTGTGGTGGAAGTATGACTGGCGACTGGTAGGTATGGCAGTGGCTGTAGTGGCTGAAGTTGCTGGAGTGGCTGTAGTGGCAGGCCTGGTAAAAGTGGTGAAAGCGGTAGAAGTGGCTGGTATTGATTGTGCAAGTGGTAGCGGGGGAGTGGCTGAGTCCTGATGTGTGGCCGTGAGCACTTCAAGAGCCTAGCTCAACTAGAACTGGAGGTACTTCTCGGTGTGTGTTGGACGCCTAAGCTGGCTATCCACCGCAAAAACAAGAGCAACCAGACAAGTTGCTATGCAGCAGGAGGTCGTATTGTTGAATCAGATACTTCATTGTTGGCCTATTTGGGCCCGTCGTAGGAAACATGTTTTGGAACAGCTGCCCCCCCTCCCATTTGTGAAGACTGGCATTCTTGTGTATGCTTGGGGGGATCAAGTCTTAGGCCATGTCAAGGTCGGCTTTCCTGTCAAGGGGTTGTCTCCAAATAGTGATTCCTCCCGTTCTCTTCCCTGCCTCAATAAAGATGCCTCCCGCCAACTGACATGGAACCCACCCGAAGGTGGCTACTGTCTTCCAGGACCCCCCGCACCCCAATAGCCGGCCCCCCCCCCCCCACTGCCTCACTGCCTGGCGGCCGGTGACCCGCCCAGGAAGTGGGGAAGGCCCGTGGAAGTCCCTGGCCCCAAGGAGGACCTGGAGGCCGGGTCGTGTTCGGGGTGCCGCGTTCGGAGTGTGTTTTGTGTGACTTTAAGGGCGGCTCTGGGTTTGGTGCGTAGAAGGGAAGTCAATTGTTTTCGTTTCAGCACCTGTGTTGTTGTGAGTTCATAAGACATAGTTGGTTGGCCTGTGGAGGTCGCGTAAGCGCATGGCCGGGAGTGTCCTCAAATAACAAGAACCCGCAAAGCCAACCAGACACAAGGGCCAAACGCACCAGTCCAGATGTCAGTCCCCGCGCCTATCCTGCATGCCGTTGCCTTTGGCGCAGGATGCGGACGTGGAGCGAGTGTTCGCCCAGCAGTTGGCTCAGCTAGTCTCACCCCACGATGGGGCGGGGCTGGGGGGGGGGACTCATGATTCACGAGACATGTGTCCAAGAAACAAGCTCTAGGCAAGTCTCTGGACAATTAGCCGAGCAACCAAGAAGAGATCAGAACTCCTTTAAGAAGATTCCTTCAAAACCAAGGAGTCGGGAGCGGGATTTAGCTTTTTTGCTTACAAATTTGTCGTCAACCTTGTCACGGCCTTAGGCTAGGTCTCGTTTTGGAAAAGCCCTCATATTGGGCCTCATATTGGCAGCATGTCAAAATCGGGGTCCCGTCCAAACGATTTGCTTGTTCCATGGTTTCTTTTGGCAGTCGGGCCCCCCCAAAGGCACCCTGTCGCTTCACAGGTTGACATGGCTTCGCGTGAAAGTTCTGACAATTGGTCCATTGGTCCAGGACATGTGGGAGAAGTGAAAGACCGTGTCCTCGAAGCCACGATCATCCAGTCAAACTCTCCAAGTGAGTTGGCAACGAAGCTTTTTGCTGGCAGGCTTCTCACATCATTCCAATGGAGGCGAGATATGGTTCTGCAACGAGGCAGGTTAGTTTACCATTGAGCCACACAACCCGGGCAAGCATCTTCACCATTTGCAAGCATCACCAGGGGTTTGCAGTAGACTGCTTTTGGGTAATCCTTGGTTTCATTCCAGGAGGTGTTGGTCAATCCAGATGTTGGGTAATCCGACGTAATGACTGTTCATTCCGATTCTTGACTGATTCATGACTCAAGGGTTTGGGATCAATTTGGGTCAAACAGATTCTCCTTCCCAACGGTGCTTTCCAATTTGGCTGACGCTTTGACTCCGTTGGTTTTACATGGAGTCCCGTTGTTGCCTATACCCTGCAGTTCACCCCCCATTTGGATGCAGATGCGTAAAAAATGGTGGTCATATTAACCCCCATTGCTTGAAAGATGGTTTGAGCCCCAGGGTCTAGCGACAGCTGGAAGTGCTGCGTATGACTCTGAGGTACCTCCTAGCGCTGGCGGAACTGTTCCAGCAGCACGCGGCCACCTGCCTGCCCCCAGAAGTGGCCCGGGAAGGCCGGGCCGCGGCGATGGGGACCCAAAGCTGAACATGGGGCACCAAGTCCAAACCAAAACGCGTTCAAATGGTGGCCGTTTTCGCGCCCAACACCCCCTCGCGGCTACTTTATTGCGTGGTTTGAGTGGTGTTCTTGTAAAGCCTATAGAAAGCTTTGTTCTAGTAGAAGCCTCAGGTGATTTCCACGACCGGGCAAATGTTCTGAGCCCACGGGGTAAAACGAGGCAAAGCCCATGATGAAGTTCCCTTACTAGGAGCTTTCCTTGAGTGTCCGGTCACATGGTGTGGAAGTTTCTGAGTTCTGAGACGACCTCCAGTGGTGCCCTGATTTTCCTTGTCTTGGAGGCTATCTTCAACTCTCAAGAAAGGATGCCCTTTGATTGGCCACCGCAGCACTGAGGTGCTTTTCCACAATGCACCGTCAAGGGCCTTTTGAAAGACGCGATTGACCAAATGGCGACTCTTTCTGCGGGGACTCCTTTTCCTGGGTTTGACACCAGGGTCCCGAAAGGAGGCCCCACTGAGTTTGCCAGCCCTTGGGGTTGTGGGAACGACCTGGGATTCCTCCCACTCTGATACCAAAGAAGCGTCAAGCCCCTGGTGAAGAAGTAGCCATTCCTTGGAGGCCTGCACGTGGTATGGCGCGGCCACAGCAAGGCCCAGCTGGACAAGCTCCTGGCTCCCCGGCGAACCGCCGTTTGGACCCTGAAACAAGCACCAGTGCTACAAGATCCATGAGCTTTGATCCCCTCAAAAGGAAACCATGCGCCCCAAGAAGAACTTCATGGCTTAGAACCCAACACTGCCCGCGATCAAGTCTGAGTTCTGGAAAACGCACTAATGGCCTATTGTTGGCCAAGTGCTCAACACAGAAGTCGAGACACCAGGCGACGCCGAATTTGAGTTGTTGTTTCTAGACGGGCCTGTTTAGTACCGGGCAAGTGGTTCTTCGATTTCGTGTTTGGACCTCCAAAAGTTGCAGTTTCATGGGAACTCACCGGTAATTTATTCAGCTTTCGAACCGGGAATCCAGTCCTGTTGGGGTAAGAAGGTCAGAGTTCTGCAAAACAACAGTCCTTCCATTTCCCTTTGTGACGTGGTTTATATTGCCCGTTTTTGGGATGGCGTTTTAGTAAGTTTCCCTTTGTGGGCTGATGGTCTTGTTTGGGAACATAGGCGCTCCAGGTCGAGCAAGATCCGGTTGGGTTCCTTTGGAATAGAATTGCGAGGAATTGGAGAGGTTTGTGTCAGAAGGGGAAGCATCTCAAAACGAACTGCTTGGAGGGCGTTGCTGATTTTGACATGTTGCCAGATCACTGCTTCAGGATAATGAATCAGTTTGACTTAGAGGTTGGTCAGCTTTTCTTATGGTAGAATACCGCCAAATTGCCAAGACAACGCAGCCATGGCTGTAGTTAGCTTGGGAGCAATTGGGGGTGTCAGGGTATGACTGTGTCCAAACAGGCGCCTCTGAAAATGGTTAGCGTCCTTTCAGCCTCCTTTACCACCTCCCATAGAAATTTCAACACAACGTGGAATCTAGCATTGTGTCCACTTCCCCAAGCCTACTCTCGGGAGTTAACGGGATATAACACCACTGTATAGCCACTACATAAACGGTATAATAAATCACTTTTTCCCCTGGGAGTAGTAGTTTGGGGGTAGTAGAAACCATCTTAGATGGAACGACCATGCCCGAGCACCGCAAGCTTGGACATAGCAAGGTTGGCGCTAACGATATGGACGTAATCCCACTGGTCAAATACGCACACACTTCTCAGAACAAGTAAAATAGCCGGCAGGGTCATGCTGTCATGTTTGCGTGAGGGAATAGCTGCCAATACACCCGCACATGTATATATATATATATATATTTATACATACCGGGTTCTGCGGCAAAAATAACACCCATTTGCCCTCTCCCAACTATCTTCCCCCTGCACCCCCTAGACCCCCAACCTCAGTGTTGTCAAGGAGCTCTGTGACATTTGAAGCCAAAATAGGCGTTTTCAGGCTTCGTTAAAAGGGGTTTGAAGTTGGGGTGCAACGGGGTTGGCGCCTGCTGTCAAAGGGTTTGGGAAGATGTTGTTTTCTGTTGCAGTACCCGGTTTGTGTCTCTCTATAGAGAATGACATGCAACTACATGTGCATATCATGGATATGTGTATATATATATATATCTACACAACATATGTCTATATATAATCAGAAACACCATCATCACATACAGATACGCAGATTATTCAGCACCATTCGGGAGGACCAAGTTGGATGTGCCTTAAGTGTACAGTTGTGTAGAGCTGTGTGTGTGTGCCAAAACAGAAGCGCTGATGGCTTTTACCAATGGTTTTCGTTTCCCTTTAAAACTGAAAAGTGTACCCGGTGTACCCTCGCAAAACGCACGCCCACAGACATACGTCCATGTGTATTTGCATGGGACGTAAACATGACAAGCCGCGGATTAAACTTTGCCGAGCTGCTACCACAACCAGCGGTGCTTTGCTCACAGTCCTGGAGGGTAGGCTTGTCCGCTTCACGATTTCGACAACAGTTGCTTTGGTCAAATGTTTTGACTTAGAGTGAAGGACAGTTGCGCCTTTGAGGCTGCGCCCCAAGGCTTGAGGCCAATTTGTTGGCATACACACGAACTCCTAGGTACAGGTGCCACGAGGGAGTCGGGTTTGTTGCTGCTCGGGGGTAGTCCCCCACAAGTGCACACTCAAAAGCAGCCCTTGCTCGACCTTCTCTGAGGCTGCGGAAACTGCCGAATGGCCTCCATGCCTCTTTGCTGCAAGCTTGCGAGATGCACGTGACGCCATCCCCTGCTTTCTGGGAGCTAGGTGATGCATGATGCACTGAAAGGAAGGATTGTCCCGAAATATGAGTGGGATTGGCGCTTAAGTGACAAGGTAATCATGGGATGGCTCACTTTGGTATCACCTTTAAGTTTCCACACACTGCACTGGAGGATGCATATCGCATGAGTCATCCTGAGCTGAGTGCCTACACCATCCTCTCGATTCAGATCGCAAGCCCCAGCTGAGGGTACCACCTATTCATGTACCCAAGTGATTCTCTTCCCAGGTTGGCACTATGATAAAATCCGCCCAGAGGCAGATCGCCACCCAACCTTCCAAAAATCTAAACCTAGTTTTGTGGGTTGGGCTGGGGGTTCTGCACATGGCCACGGGTCAAAATCCCGTACCCCTAGTGAACATCCCAATCCCCACTAAAATAGACTAAAATGGGTGGTGCACCGAAAACACCCCAAAATGGTACCATTGGTTTTGACAACCGCAGCCACATCAGCATGTGGAGCTTCCGTCAGTCGCTTTGTTCCTCTGAGGCCTGCGCACTGGGGAAGGTGTTGCCGCGCCGCGGTCCAGGCTCTAAGACTGAGCCACTCGGATGTCGACTTGGCGCGCAACAATTTGCGAGGGGCGTTCTCCGTTTTCCTATTTGGCTCTTGAGTCTTGGTTCTGTTTCCTGACTTCCTCTTTTGGATGTTTTTATTTGAGAGCGACTGAAATGTAAGTAGTTCGATAGCTCCCTTTCTTTGAGTGTAAGTGATTCCCTCTCAGCAAACATGGAGGTTCACAAACCCGTCTTATTTGGCTTTGTTTTGCTCCAGGGCGGTATATATGATGGCACTTAGTGGTTGCCAGGGTGTCGAGTATCTAGGGTGAGAGACAACGATGCGCATTGTCCAAGTTGATATGCAACCACCAGGACAAGTGCCCCAAGTGGGTAGTTAATCCCTCTCTTACACACATGGAGATGCACCGGCTATCCTCCTCTATCAGGTGTAAAGCGAAAACCCCAACACTACCCAACAGCCCAAACCCGAAAACTCTCAATAAAAGCACTGAGGCTCAGCCATGCCAACCCCGAGACCGTGGCGAGAGAATATGGGTTGAGTCCTAACTTGCAACCCTTCCTTGGCCTGCTTCACACCCGCAAGCAATGAAAGAACAGAGGGTCACGCTTTTACAATGTTTCAATCAGCTCTGAGGCAGTGCTTTGCTCATGAGTCTTCTCCATATGTACAGGAGTTCCCGTGATATTTGCATTGACTTCCAAGGCTCTATGCAACTTGACCTTTATGACGGATCTGGTGCACGAATGGTTTGTAGTTTATATAAGATGACAGAGGACCCATGGATGTTGCCACTCCTTGATTGGCGCCTTTGAATAGTTTGATCTCCAACCTTATTTGCCCCCATCGCTATTGCGTGTTTGGTTTTGCCAACTTAAGCCATGCATGCTTGCAGCGAGAAACCAGCACGGGAGCCACAGACTCACAGTAATTACGTGACATGTGTAAGCTCATACGAATTCATGTAATGTGCTGAAGAACTGTGTGACAGCCGTACAAGCTCCCTCGCCCTCAGACAATCATGATCTTTTCAAATCGAAGGTCCGGTGTGGCTTCCACGTTCCTTTTGAGTTGAGATGCAAGTGATTTCGACGCATACTAGGATGATGATGTTGATGATGATGATGATGATGATGATGATGATGATGACGATGATGATGATGATGATGATGATGATGATGATGATGACGATGATGATGATGATGATGATGAAAGTACCTAACCCGTGATGGAGGTAGCTTTCCTGCAGCAGTCTCGTTCAATATCCGCTTGTTCTTTGCCTTGCCCGCTTTGCCTTCGTTAATCGTGCTGTAAGAACCACTGGCAATTTGTTTGCCACCCATTTGCCAAAATCTGAACCGAGGCTTGACAGAGGTGATGAATGAGGCAGCTCTCCTTTCGGACCGATTGGGTCCGAGGATCGAGCGGGTCCTTTTTTTAGATTGCTGGGAGATCGACTTCAAGCTTCCTCAAGGGCTTGCTTGAGCGAGATGGCTTGCAGTGGATGTTTAGGAGTTGGGACAAAGGGTATCAAAAGTTGCATGCTTCCTAGTTTGCTGGCCAGCGACGAAACAGGTCATGTCATAGCCCAGCGGCAAAGAGGGATCACACCAAAGTTGCTTGGCCCGCAGGTATCTTACTATCAGTCACAGCGGCTACAGCCAGTCGATAGATCTGCCAGCATGGAATCCAGGAGGCACGATCTCCTTTCGCCAGTTGCGCAGCGGCCAAATTCCCAGACTGGACTGTTCCAGTTATTTGCCAGGTGCAGGGTCAAACATGTGCAAGCCATAGTTTCGGGGGATGTCTGGGATCTGGATTCAACGATGCCGCCATTTCCGGGGAGTTTGGGCTATGGCTCAACTGTGTAGCAGCGTGTGTCTGAGCTGTCCGGTGCCAGTCAGATGCAAGGGATCGGCCAACCATCGAGCGCCGAACTCTCGGGAGCCAAACCGTGAGGTGCAAACATGGAAATGGGGTGGTACTTTTTTGGGAGACCAAGCCATTTCACGACAAGCCTGGAGCAGAGGGAGGCA